CCATGAGAGGTAGGGACTTCATATTAAGAATGCATACTCCATTATTTAAGTTCTTTCAAATGTCAAGGTCAAGGACGTTGTGACCTTGACTGTAACCTATAATAGCTTTTCCGTACCTTCGCCATAACTTTGAACCATGAGAGGTACATGCAAAGACTTCATATATGGTATGCATACTCCGCTAATCAATTTATTTCAAATGACACCAGGCAAGGTCAATGACCTTGTGATTTTGACTGTGACCTATATGCTTAACAGGCACGTAGCATCGATATTGAAAGTGGGGGGCGGCAAAGAAATTTTTTTTTCTTACCTCAAAAAATTTGACAAGCTTAAAAAAAAACCCACTACCTAAAATTTTTTTTTACGCAAACTTGAAAATCCTATTTCGTTGGGGGGGGGGGTTAACTACCAATTCCTTTCAATATCCATTTTTTTTAACCTTACACTACTGTTTTCCCTTCATATTAATTTACTTAAGTGGCAAGTGGGGAGGGGGGCCAAACAGCCTTTCAATATATATTTCCAATTGTAAAAGTAGTGTTGGCAAAAAAAGTAGGTAGGCATACCCCCCACCCATATTGCTACGTGCCTGCTTCTAATAAACTTTTTTTTTCGAAATTTGCTGCCGCTGGGCTCATAGTTTCACAAACACATCTTATCTTCTTCAGCTGTGTGCATAGATTCCTCTTGATTATGACATGATATTTACATCAAAATGTGCACGACAGAATCACGTCGGAATTATTTAAAACTAACCCTTTATAAAAATTCCTACTCATAGATACTACAAGTGATTTTTTATTACCTGTGTTTACGATATGACCCCCCTCCCCGGTTCACAAGGCCTGCCCTGATCTCCCTGAAGCACCCCTCTGCATTGCATCAGTGATGTGTAAAGTAAATACCGGGGGTTACTGAATCTGAATATTCATTATAAGTACAGTCATGTATATTAATTTATTATTTGTTTGTAGCTGCAGAACTGTAGCTCTCTGAAAAAAAATCATATTGATCGACCGGTCAATAAATTTTTTGGAGAGCTACAATTCTGCAGCTAATTTGTTTGAATATTTCCTGAAAAGTACATGCATATCTGTTTGAATATTATGTAAAACAATGTACCTTTTAAAATTAATTATTTTGTTTATTGAAATATATGTACATGTAACATAAATTTAACATAATGTTTTTTTTTTTTTTTTTTACATTTTAAACAATTAATAAAACAATTATGATTTTGAGCCTTATATAAAGCATTAAATATACAATGACATACCTTATACATGTAAGTTAGACATTAAGGTAATTATGGTTATCATGTTGCTGATTTTCATCAAATGAATGACATTGTTTATTTATATTTAATAAAAAACAAAACAAAAGACAATAAAATAAAAATAAATTAATTTAAAAAAAGTTTAAAGTTGGATGAAAATTGAAACAAATAAAGCCCATTTTTATTAATGATGGTAAAAGTATGATAAGAATTTAAAAGGAGAAAAATATTTCAACTAAATAAATTTAAAACAAATTGTTTAAAAAATCCCAGCTTTAGACATGTTAGACAATGAACAAAAATCTTTAAAGTCACTTGGTAGTGGTTTTGTGGGCAATTTGTTAAAGAAAGTACAAATACATATTTTCACCGGTGAAGTATTTATCTAAAATTATCTTTCACACATATCTTTCACACATACAACATGTATAATGGTTTAAAATCATGTAACAAACATGTATTGTTATTGCAGAAATAAATATTCTGTGGCCTATGTAAATATTACACTGCTACATAACATCACTTGCAGTACTTCTCGGTACTTGATTTTCATTACTTGTCTATTACTCCTTTGAGTAACAGATTATCATTTGTATCTATACACAGTAACCAGGGTCTGTTTAGTCACTGCAGATATTTGATTTTCTTAACTTGTCTGTTTAAATATTGAGCAACAAACAGATTGTCCTTTGTATCTATACACAGTCCATAACTTTGAGGTCATTTGTATCTAAACACAGTCCCCAGGGAAACAATACATGGTCTATGTAACGGAGGAACTGTCCATCCTGGTCTATGATGTGGACACACTCATTGTTATAATCAGCTGTAAGGATGTGACTCTGACTGTCTGTGGTGATTCCTCGTGGATTGAATGGTTGGTTCTTTGGAGCAGGAGTATGTCCAGTGTACCTGAATTTGATCACAATATGTAGAAATTTTTTAAGTTTATTCATACTTTTTTAAAAGAATTTGGTAGAATTTCAAAAGAAATATAATTTTGTATACTGTATATCATGTATATATAGAATTGTACAGTCTTTGACACTACTAATTGATTTGTTACTGAAAATAATTGTACTTTATGATAGACAGTTTTATATAATTCTGTATAAGGAGAAGACTATCTGAGTTGTAGAACATTTGTCTTATCCTTTTGACTTTGTCAGTAAAATATGTTCAATTCAAAGTGTACCTGAATCTCAGTTTCCCGGCCTGATTGACCACCACTACTGCTTTAGCTCCACTGTCAGACACACAGATATCCAGGTTCCTGTTCTCAGTTATATATCTAGTATCAGATGAATAAAGAGGTTTATTTTTATCATCAAACTGAATGGTTTGTTCATCTGTGGAGCAAGAGTAACGGACAACTTTTGTTAGTTTTTTATCATCACTGATCATGGTAACCAGGAGGTCACCAGAGGAGGTACTACAGACACCTTTAGGTCTCCAGTTCTGTAGTCTGATCACCTCCTCTATCTTCTCATTCTTCACAATGTTCACAGTGTCATCAGTATAAACTAGATCTCCACTTTTTGTCACTGCTATGTCCCTTGGTGTGTTCCCTGACTTGGTTGTGATTGACTTGAGTAGTGATCCCTGATTGATGCTGTAGAGTTTCATGGTGTTGTCATTTCCTCTTGTCCAGATTTCTTCATCACTTACACTGGCCACATTGTAAAGTCCAAAGTGATACTCAGTGTCTATGGTGGCGACAATCTCTGGTTCATCAAGCAGCTGTTTGACTGGAGGAGAGGATCCAGCTTCTGGTGATTTCTGTGTTGTCTTCATGCTGTAGCCATATTCATCTGATTTTATCGAAATTGTTTTCAAACTAAACAGTTGGTCTGCCTGCAATTTCTTTGGGATGAATTTAGGAATGGAAACTGTAATTTTTCTTGGAAGGTTTGTATACCTATCTAGGGTGGAAGGCAGACTGAATAGGCTTGAAATGTCTGTAGATTCCAGAACACTATCAACTGAATTGATTTCATCCTTGATGTCAGACATTGTCTTGTTTATTTCATCCAGATGTTTCTGTAGAGTTTGTAACTGTGTGTTTTTCATCTCATCAACTTCAGCTTTAAGTTTCTTGACAAGTTTGTCAATTTCTCTGTGCCAGTCCTCTCCATGTTTTGTTATGGCTGTTGAGAGATCTCCATATTCCTTTTCTAACTGACTCATTCTGTTTTGTACATCAGAGGCAATGTCCTGGTAGTTTGGATATATCTTTTCTTTCAGTTCAGTTTGTTTTTTGATGAGTTTGTCCCTTTTCTTGTCTCGGATTTCCAGGACCCTAACTAATTTATGTCCGAGATGTTGATCCGAGGCAAGACAAATACTACAGATAGGAACATCACAATGGGTACAGAACATCTCACACATTTCTTCATCATGAGAGGTGCATCTGGGGTGAATAAGAGTAGACTTTTTGTCCTTAAAGTGAACAATTTTATGAGGTTTTGAGAGATCAGCAGAAAAGTGTTCTCCCACACAGGCCTTACACAGGTTGACAAGACATGTATCACAGTGCATCTGTACCACAGCGGTCTCACACAGGTCACATCGCATCACGTCCTGGGCACTGGTACGGGGGTCCATGACTCAATCTTCAAAGAAAAATGTCAAGTTTTCAATTTACTGTTAACAGCCATCCATGTTCATATTTTGAATGTCTTAGATAACATGGATAAATAAATTCTGCACACAACCATATCATTCTTGAAGGAAAATCATGTAATTTTGAGGCCTAATTAATTTATATACTATATATAGGGTATATACATGTATATAGCACAAGCGTTATGTTATTTTTTACTGGATCCATTTACCTTCGAAATACCTTTTATCTTTCATATTACATTGATTTTATTTATATTTTTTGGTCACAATATGGGTTCGAATTAAAAGAGGGGGTGGGGGGTTACAAAGGTAATAGTTGCCTTCAGCTTTAATATAGGCTGCTGCCCCAAAAAAATGACAATTTTCAAAATGTACCTTAGCGAAGACATCGAGTGACCAGATATGTCTATGACGCCGATATGCCAAGTGGTTAACGCATGCAATTTTGTGTCCAAAATATACATAAGTACTAATTTCAATATAATAAATCTAGTAAACCAATGCATAGTTGACATGGTTGACTTCACTGATGGCCACTTATATGCATGGTTGTATTTTATTATTAGTCTTTATGTATGTAACATGGTTGTATGCCAACATGTTTGGTGATTCAGGGACCTAAATACTAACTATAGTATAAAATATACATACAATATAATAAATCTAGTAAACCACTGCATAACATGGTTGACTTCACTGATCCAGCCACTTGCGTGTATGCATGTTTGTATTTTATTATTTGTCTTTTGTGTTAAACATGGTTGTAAATATGTTCAAATCAAAAAAAAAAATAGTATATTAAGGTCCTTAGGTGAATCAATGAATAAAGAAATTAAAATAATTTATTATTTTTTTTTTGCCGCTGTGAGCCCCTATCCCGAGTATTCCCGACCCTAAAACTGCTATTACAAGCATAATTTAGAAAATAATAAATCTTTAAAACAACAACAAAACCGATTTATTAATCCTTTATATCTTTTCTGGTCACAAAAACTGAAAAGCCAACCCCCCCCCCCCCCCACACACACACAACATCCACCAGGTTTGAGTGGTGAACAGGTGAATATAAGATTAAATAACTCACTTACATTAATTATACTGAATATACTAGTATACAGATATGGAATTTAACAATTCGCTCTACTTCTAAACCGAAGACAAACCTTGATGTGCAGTAATGGCGGCCGCTGACGCTGCGCTGGTCTCTGCATTTGTACGGAAACATATTGGTGCTATTTTGACACTTTTTAACAATCTCTACCCAGAATTATCGTTTCATGTAGCGAAGCGAACGATAACTCTGGGTAGAGATTGACTTTTTTTAAGGAATATCCGATCCTCAGCCAGGTAGGATAGCTCCAAAAACTACCCATGATATTGAATTTGAAATGCATCAAAATGAAGCTTGAAAAAAAAAATACATTTCACGCAACAGTTTTCATTTTGTTCATCTTTATAAGATTTAATGTTTTGTGACGTCTTAAAAAAGTATCATAAAAGTTTACATAAAAAAATAATGCAGTTTTTAGAGAAATAAGATTTTCTTGAATCCAGCCTAAGATACCAATGTTTATTAGCATGATATGAAATAATATGTGATTTGTGGTGTTTTGCAATGATAGCAAAAGCCTTTCACACTATGTTTTATAGAAAGCATGATGGAAACAGAAGAAAAAATGCCAAATGAGTATGAAAATCATGATAATTTTTCTGAATGCCCAGAAACCTATCGTTTTTTAACTTAAAATATATTTATTGATTAATTTGCCATTAGAAAATGCAATGCTGATATTCCTTATTGCTTTTTCTGCAAAAATATTTGAGGATTGTATTAAAAAGTTCCTCAAAGTTAGAGAAATATTCTCCCTTCTCCAAACAAACAAAATACGATATTTAGTTATTTTATAGGCCTCTTCTGTTCTTTCATAGATTGATCCAAATACTTCTTATAGGAGTTTTATGAAGAGACTTACTTTTACAGTTGACGACTGACTTTTACATTTTAAACACATACAAACTCTATACATCAAAATGTAGAAGTCAGCTGTCGAATGTAAAAGTAAGTCTCTTCATAAAACTCCACTTATAATACTGGGGCTTCCGTACAACATAGACTTAGATTATGTTAATTTAGATAATTCTAATTTAGATTATATTAATTTGAACTATGATATGATGTAAATTTTGAATCACAACTTTACAATTTAATTCAGTGTGTGTGTGTGTGGGGGGGGGGGGGGGCACAGCCATACATTTTTCAGTTGGGGGAGGGGGCACAATTACTCCTACAAGTAAGAGCCTCGGTTAACGTCCCTACGCTCCTTCTCGCCGTGAACCTCTAGCATGCTGGAGAAGGGGCACTATCAACTACCAAAATTCATTGACAAGCAAAAATATATATTGACAGACCGGAGAGCTACAGTTCCACCCTTAGAAAAACTGTATATTTATTGCCCACAAAAAGTTGTGCTTGATTCTGGATTAATTTTTCCAAATTCTTACCTCAATAGCAAAA